CACACTTAGTATGCCCATGTTTAGTTGCCCAGTGAAGGAAATCACTAAATTAACTCTTCCTTGCTTCTCCAGTGATCAGCAAAACGAAGTCTCCATGCAGATGACTTGAGATATAGGATGGGGGGGGGGGGGTAGTCCACATATAGCAATGAGGTCCACAATAGAGATCTTATCCAAAAAAGTTTTCGACCATACTTTAAATCGCACAAAATGAGCGGATATATGTCGTATATTGCAAAAAAAAGTATTGGAAAACGATACTGATGTCAAAGAATGCAGAAATCAATTCAGGAAAAGAAAAATAAAGAAATGATTCGGAAAATGAAGAGTCTATAATATTCTCCATGCCATACTCTGTGTGTTTACTTAATAGATATTTGTTCAACCTTCATGATGAAGGGAACTTTTTTTTTATTTGCACGCTCGCGTCAGTTTTGGGGTTCCTGGAGGATGTCATATCCATATAATAAAATCAACATGGCTTTACTTGGGAAACATTTAAGGTATCTTTTCGTAGGTTACTTATTAAAGTTGATAAATTTGACTGGCTGTTATTTTTTCATAACAAGACAATTACTCTTCCCAGAGAGCCAGACAAAAATGACTGGACTTGCCGGGCCACCAGGACCTCCTGGACCACCAGGAAACAGGGGGTTTGCTGGGCAGACCGAACCACCAAATGGGAGGGGTCCTATGGGGCCAGCTGGCCCTGTGTCTGTCGGGCCTCCTGGGCCACCTGGAAACAAGGGAGACACGGGGCTGGCTGGCCCACCAGGATCAAAGGGGCCCATGGGGCCAGCTGGTCCGCCAGGTAAAACAGGAGGTATGGGGCCACCTGGCCCTGTGATTGCTGGGCCACCTGGCCGTCCTGGGCGACATGGACCTCCGGGAGAAACTGGACCAGCTGGGCCACCCGGACCTCCAGCTCGCTGCTTTCATGAAGGTTTATTATTATTTGTTTATTTATTATTTGCACGTATAAAAAAGTTACATAATCAAATAATAACAATAAGAGAATATGCAGGGTAGGCCAGAAACCTAGGTGTTTTTTAAGGGCCTACCCCAAACAAAGGTAAGTATGATACATGACAAAACATATTTGAATTAAACATCAAAATTAAACAATGAAATGAAAAAGGAGATGAAGCCATTATTATATTTTAAGCCATACAAGAGGTATGAATAAAGTATATTATCTTTTTTGCCATGTTTCTCATTTTTCACCTTCTGCTATTTTTACAAATGGATTGAACTTCTATATTTTTGTGCATAATGACCCCCATTTTGGCATTCAGGTCAGGTGACCGAATAGCACAAGTAATCTGTAGATACATTTCTTAACTAATATCATTGCTTCAACCACATGCTTAGCACGTACACGTGTTTTTACCACATTTGGCAAAGGGACTTTAGGTAAATGACATTTCTTTTTGTGATGCCCCTTCTTTTCAAACAGCTGGGTCGAATATCTCTTAAATAATTTGAGAAATATTTTCTTCTTATCAGTTTTGAGCTGCAAGCAGATCAAATTCAACAATGTCTATAATTATGTTGTTCCAAGTCTCCTACTAAATATATATAACTCGTTTTTGTGTATGTTTAGTCCTTTGTCCTGTTCAGTATTGGAAATGGCGTGGGGCTTGCTACAAAGTCATCAAAGACAAAAAGTCATTCTACAACGCAGCCACAACCTGTCGTAAAGATGGCGGTACCCTCTTCATGCCCAAGAATGCTGAGACCAACGCCATTTTGATTCCTAAAGTGGGTAGTGGTAACCAGGGCTACTGGATCGGCCTACATGACATACGCAAGGAAGGGCACTTTGAGTGGTTGGATGGCTCTGTCCTGAAGATGTTCAACTCGTGGGATCGAGACAGCAATGAGCCAGATAACAAAGGCAATCAGGATTGCGTCCGTTGGTCAAAGGGCAAATGGTACGACAGGAAGTGCAATGAAGCCCGCCGGTTCATCTGTCAAATTGTCCCAAGTATGTCCTTTACACTTTCATAATGCTTCATTTAGAAAGATCACCCTAAGGGTATTAAGAATTTTTTTTGTTTCTTTTATGAAATATTTTTACTTCAATTTATCAATAACAAGTACCTTCACAATTGTCAGTTTTAACAAGGACATGCATACATAGATTGATAGATATCTATTGTTTTAAATTAATTTTACACATTTTTGTGAAAGCTACATGTGGCGACAATAGAACTCCATTTCCCCTACAGTTTTTGAATATTTTACTTTGTTGTGACCTAACACTTTAAGTTAAACTTAAGAATTTAAATGTGTAATGATTGACTTTGACAACTTAATTTGTAAAATATACCAGCTATGTAAGTGTGTTATGAGGAAAAAACATTATTAGAGGCAAACAATATTTGCTTTTAACAAAGCCTATTTATTTAAAACAATTTAATCAAATCCATATTTATCAATTTATTCACTTGCAATGACCGCTGTTATGTTTTCTTTCTGCAGAGAAAACCTAGATGGCAGGCCAAACTCTCACCACCATGGAACAGCAGTTGTGTTTTACCTTGACAAGGACTAAAACATTAGAAGGTAGTGAATCAAAGCTGGAAGATTGAATTTTGAAAACTAGCTCTAGAAACCATAACAGGCTTACTTTTTCATTTGGTAAATCTTCAGCTACTTGTTGTAGGAAGACCTTAATTTGCTGAAAATTGAGCATTATCTTTGGTGCACGATAAATCTAGTACATAATTGTCACTACCGGTTTGATTTAGTTGATTACACGATGCAAAATTAAAACAATATTCTTTAACATGGTCAAAATATCTTTTTATTTACCTAAGGCCACACCAATTTAATTTGTTGGTTCTCGGATTCGCCTCTTCGTTTTTTTTCTGATTTGCAAAAAAAAAAATTGATTCTGGTCCTGAATCAACTGAAAAATGCTCATGTTTTGCCCCCAACAGTTGAGGAAAGTCCTTTTCTTCCTAGTTGTTACAGTTTTTCCATCTATCATTGCAGTGGTTTGATTAAAAGTTCAAAATTCAATGTTTAAATTTTAACCCAGCCTTTTGTGTTGACTTCATGGCTCATTCCGTAGCATTCAAGCCAAAAATAGGATGCCTAGACCTGTTTTTATTTTTTATTTTTTGCCCTGTCGCTTCATATTTTTTTTGAAAAAATCCGAGAACCAACAAATTAAATTGGTGTGGCCTAAGAGTCTAAAAGAAAAATAATAAATTTAGATCATAATGCAATGAAATATGTTTGCAATGTTGTAGTTGTACGAGTTTAACTCCTACATTGGGATTTGCCTAATAGTGCCCTTTCAAAACAGATGAAGTCAAAAATGTCATCACCAAACTGCATGTTATATAATGTCAAATTATGGTAGTATTCTCTAGACGTTTGTTGAATTTTAATAATAATTAATATTTCTATCTTATGCTATTTTTATGACATCAATGGTCACAGTTAAATATGACAGTCAATATTCAGTAAACAGGTTATTGACCCTGTAATAACCATGTTAAAAATCATTGTTACTTCTTCAAAAAATACTTGAACTTTTTGTTCAATTTACAGTGAATAACAGATTGTAGCTTCTTGGCAATTGCCATTGTTTAATCAAAATTCATTTTATAATGCCTGTTCACAACAGTCATAGAAGATGTTATTATTCACTCGACTAAGTCTTTTTGTTTAGGAAAGTTCTGTGGCATGTCTATGAATTTCAAATGTACAAACATTTGAATAGTTTCAAAGTATAAACTTTATATTGGTGTTGTATTAATGACAGATTGATGGCATGAAATTCATTCATAATAACTTTGTTGTCGTTTGATATTCGTTTTACAATAAGCTACTACTCCTCTGACATTGACAGAGCTTTTCTTTTTGTTGTTCAATATATTTTTGAATCATCTTCAAAGTAATTTTACAGTATATTGAGAAACTTTAAACGAAGTTGATGGGTGAAATTATTTTTTCGATGGTTAAAAGTCATGTATGTGTACACATATACTACATTCTCTGTGAATTGTTAAAAAGTTACCTGAAAATGATGGAGAAATTAAAACCTTTTTAATAAGAAAACACTCTCTTTGTGCTTTGTTCTTGCGTGTATCATTCACATTACATGTTACGTTCCGTGTTTCATATTTAATTTACGTTCCGCATTACAATCTGAGTAGTGTGCATTAGTAAGTGTGCTTACGGCACAAAAACACATTTTACTTTTAGCTCACATAATTTCAGCCAACAGTAATACAGCACGGAAGCAATGGGTATATATTAAAAGGAAGGAAGGAAGGAAGGAAGGAAGGAAGGAAGGAAGGAAGGAAGGAAGGAAGGAAGGAAGGAAGGAAGGAAGGAAGGAAGGAAAGGATATTGATGAAGGTAATAGGTGTAGGTATGAAGCTCAAACATATGTGTTAAGTAAACGTGAACTAATGTCACCTGGTTGTTTGAGTAAGAACCTCTGTGCCATTTAGGCCCTTTGGCATTTTTCATTGGGGACGTTGGAGCATAAAATAAGCATGGTCCAATGCTGGGCTGAGGGAAATACTGTTTTAGATTACTTGACGACTATACTTAAAGACTAACGACTATAGATGTGCCCTACCTGAAGGTGGTGACACTATAGATGTGTCCTACCTGGAGGTGGTGACGTAGGACACTATATAGAATCTGATGTGCCCTGCCCAGAGGTGATGACACTATAGATGTGCCCTACCTGGAGGTGGTGACACTATAGATGTGTCCTACCTGGAGGTGGTGACGTAGGACACTATATAGAATCTGATGTGCCCTACCTGGAGGTGGTGACACTATATATGTGCCCTACCTGGAGGTGGTGACACTATAGATGTGTCCTACCTGGAGGTGGTGACGCTATATATATAGATGTGCCCTACCTGGAGGTGATGACACTATAGATGTGCCCTACCTGGAGGTGGTGACACTATAGATGTGCCCTACCTGGAGGTGGTGACACTATTTATAGATAATATAGAGCCTACCTGGACATGGTAGCAGGCATAGATACAATCCCAACATTGAAACAGGTTCCATCTTCCAGATGCAACATCTGCAGCCCATATCGGTGAAACAGACTCCAATCTCTGTATTTTCCTAGAAATAGAAAACATGACGTCCTTCAATTTTTTTTTCAATTTTAATGATAATAACGCAGGAACAAAAAAGACATTTTCGGTCCCTTTACTAAACAACAGCATGGCTATGCTGCAATCTACAGTAACTCTCAATTGGTTGTTATTCATAACAGCCAATTATTGTATGCATCTAAAATTTGGTGCAGTAGCAATATGAATGACAAATCTGCAATAGAACTGTACATCTGAAATTCTGTAAATACGACTTGGAGTTCGGAGGAATGCCAGTATTAAACTTCGCATGTAGAGCGGAAGTTGGACGTTTCCCTTTACTGATCTGGCTCAATGCAGAATGTACAGTAACTGTTACTATTTCAGATTAGCCAACGAAGTACATACAAGTAGATAAGTCTTCAACATGAAGCCTATATGGTACAACAAGAGCTAGATCCTCGAAAAACACCCTGCTGGTTATCTAATGTAAGGAAACTGTTAGAGGAGTCCGGCTTTGCCTACCTGTACATTAATGGTCACTTAAACTCGCTGTCTCATATAAATGAACTAAATGCTGAATGAACGTTGAATGAATGATACAGAATCAGATACAGATTATGAATATAGAACATCTCACCATAGGAGTGGTCTCTCAGTCCTTTGATGACAATCTTCCTGTCCTGGTACCCTTCCACGTGGACTGTCCCTTCAAATGTGCCGAACTGCTCATAATGTGTCTGATGCATGCTGCAATCCAACACATGGGGAACTCAGACATGGGTCTTGGGAATGGGAATGAAACATAAAATCTATAAGGGGGCCTGCATGGGGAGGGGGGGGGGGCCGACAATGCTCTATGCTAAATTTTGAGAGCTGGCTACATATTACGCTGAATTCAGGAAACCTCTCGATTACGCTTTACGTCAAATTCCAAGTGGCTACAACGCATTACGTAGAATTAAAACGGCGAATACCCTCTACGCCAATTACGCTCTACGTTGAATTAGAGCGGTCCGTCTATGCTCTACGTTTAATTAAAAAAGCCGATTACGGTCTACGGAAAGAGGCTAACGGGCCCCTTATAATATTTCACAAGTGGTTTGTTAAATATATGTCTAAGTATGTTTTACTTTAGCAGATAAACAGGCATGTATACCTGTTCACTGGGTCTGAGGACAAGCATTCTGGCCAAGTTGATCCACAGCTTGAATTACAAACTGCAATTATCCTGAAGAGAGGGTCTGGTGACAAGTCACAATGACTTCATCTTGGAAGAGTAGGATTTCTCCTAGTATGTAAGGCCACACCAATTTGATTTGTTGGTTCTTGGATATTTTCAGACAAAGTGGCACCTGGGCTGAAAAAATTATACAATGTATGATAACGACTGTCCTGAATGCTATGATAGGAGCCATGAAGTCAACATACCAGGCTAGCTGGTTTGTACAATGAATTTCAGACTTTTAATCAAACCACTGCATTGAGAGATGGAAAAACTGTAGTAACAACTATGACAAGAAGGGACTTCCTTTAACTGTTGGGGCAAGAAAATGAGCATTTTGGAGTTGATTCAAGTGCAGACATGTTTTTGTTGTTGTTTTTTCTGAGAAAAAATGAAGCGGGCAAATCTGTGAACCAACAAATTAACTTGATGCTGCCTAATGTTACTTACTCCTGAAGATTTTGGAAGAACTCCCGACTCCAGGGTTCCCTGGCCATGGCATCAGCTACAGCCCAGGGCTCCATGTCTGTGTCAAAGTCATAGTACGGAGTACAGGCTGTCCATGTCAACACAAACTCAGTCTGTAGCAGCTGCTTAGTCTGGTCAACAGCTCTGCAAAATCACACAATTATGTCCTCTGATAAAATGACCCATGCACAATGCTGCATCAAAATAGTCCAGTATTATCACTTGAATAAGTCCAGAATAGACTCTGTCAATACTGTAACATGAATAGAATAAAAGATGAACAACACTTTATTTTAGACTGTACTTTATATTCTAGTGAAAGATTTGTCCTTTTTAATCATATCAAAGAGAAGTTCCCATACTTTCACCTAAATGCAAACTATAAATTTATAATTATTTTTTATGCGTCTAGACAAACCCTGTATCACAAACATGATCTGTTCCCACATTTTCCATTGTACAAAAAAGCGAGAAGAAGTTGACCACTCTGTATTAGCTCAGTTAAACTAGAACACTTAATTAGCCTAGTATAGTATCCTCATGTTACTTATGTATGTATGTCAAGTAGTGTAACTTTTGTTTCCACTTTTCTACATACGTTTGTTATGTGTCTGTTAAGTCTTGACCTGTACCTAGCCTGTCGTGGCATGAATGTACAATAAAGGTATTTCATTCATTCATTTATTGCTAATGACAGAGGTTGCAAGTCGACTGATCAAATCAGCCACACTCTGATCTTTGTAACGTATCACTAAGACATTCTGTTATTTTAAAACTGCGTAGTATTTGAAGTTTGGTGTGAAATACATGAATTTCCTAACTTCATCAAGATGAAAATGAGTACCTAGCTTTGGTTAGGGAGGTCTGGGGTGTTTGGGGAGAGCACGAACGTACGTTAAAGTTCAACCCACCATATTAATTGAAAATAGTTGGGGACCTAACCGGTGTGAGTGGTTCAAACCTTACAGTCCTATGGCTGCACTTGGGGTCGTATTGAGGACACCTGAGTTAGCGCGCTAATGGCAGCAGCTCCAGACACTTGCGATTAAGCCCCAATAATTGTAAGCTCCTCACAATTCAGCACTAATATACAATATATATTAGGGCAGTTTATGCGATCCGTGAAAGTCGAATTGGTCTATACCGATTCGACTTTCACGGATTGCATAAACTGCTTACGTCACAGGGGGACATTTCGAAAGAACGCCGTTCTAGAACGCTGAAGTCGAACGTGGCTTGCGCTCGCGGTGTCCCCCCTGGCAGATAATTTTTTTACTAAAACTTGACTGGTAGGTGTCTATTTTCTTGGTAATATATGCAGAAATGACAGGAAAACAGGCACCAACTTTGTATGGAGGTATTCCGTACAACAATTTAAGGGTTATTTTGTTCTGTGATGTATGCAGTTTATGCGATCCGTGAAAGGAACTTTCGAAATGTCCCCCCTGTGACGTTCTATCCAAAATGTCCCCCCTGTGACGTTGGCAGTTTATGCGGTCCGTGCAAGTCGAATGGGTCTATTGACTCTAAGGAAAGAGTAGCCTGCCCTTTAAGATAAGATTAGATAAGATAGTTGAGCATCACCTCATCTTGCCGCTGTAGGAGAGTCTCCAGACCTTCATGGGTTCCACCATCTCCAGACGGAGCCCCCGCGCTGCGTACTCTCTGTCTGTCTCCCGCTCCATGGCCGTGTTGGGCAGACATGGATGTTCCAGGAGACCTATATCAGGGAACTGACAGAAATCACACAGGAACAGTCACATGGGAAGGGAGTAGGAAACAACTGTGTGATACCTTAATTAATGTTCTATCAGTTAAACATGGAACTACATGCATGTAAAATATGCCAAACTTTCATTTTAAAGTCCTTCTGTTTCCATTTTGCTCAATACTCTACTAGTACATATTGAGAGCCTATTCATAATGTCGGAAGATGTTATCAAAAATGTGCAGTTTGATAGAACTGATTTACTGCACAGGACAGTGATATGATATGATACGAGTAATATGAGACCTACCCTTAAGTACAGAACAGTTTGAGTGATTGAGACCTACCCTTAAGTACAGAACAGTTTGAGTGATATGAGACCTACCCTTAAGTACAGAACAGTTCGAGTGATTGAGACCTACCCTCAAGTTTGAGTGATATGAGACCTACCCTTAAGTACAGAACAGTTTCGGTGACTGAGACCTACCCTTAAGTACAGAACAGTTTGAGTGATATGAGACCTACCCTTAAGTAAAGAACAGTTTGAGTGATATGAGACCTACCCTTAAGTACAGAACAGTTTGAGTGATTGAGACCTACCCTTAAGTACAGAACAGTTTGACTGACTGAGACCTACCCTTAAGTACAGAACAGTTTGAGTGATATGAGACCTACCCTTAAGTACAGAACAGTTTGGGTGACTTTGTTTGGCCTCCTTGCTGTTGCTGCTACAAAGTACACTCCATCTCTGTTGGAGCCGTTGAAGTACACTGCATCTATAGCCTGAGCAGGGGAGAGAACAGTTGTCATGCTAGCTCCGATAACAGGTGAAGCATGATGTTGTGTAGTAATGCAGCGTAAATTTGCATCAGGTCACATTTTCAGCAAAGCACTGGGTCATTCTTACTTTTTACAAATACAAATTCAAGTGTGTTGTTCTCAGAGGGTTAACACCTGAAGTCCCTCGAAATGGGGAAAAGTAAATTGAACTACTCGGTAGTACTAGAAGGTAAGCTTAAGGTAACAAGCAAATACAGCATATTCCATTTCATCCCCTTGCAAAAACAAATGGTTACAAACTCAACAAAATCAGAATACCACTCCAAATTATGTCTACCCAAACATGGACTACACAGACATCACCGCACTCACATAGTAGTAGTACATCTTTTACACTAAATGTAATTGTACAAAAATACCTCGGAGTCCGTACAAAATGGTCTCTACCAAATTACCCCATTCAATCTCTTGAAATAAAAATACCTTCGGGTGATCCTGTAGTTTCTGTATTTCCTCCATATCTGCACTGCTGTTCCTTGACTTAACTCCCATCCCAGCTGCCATGCCTTCTCCTGCCTTAGTGTTCTTGGATCTCCACTGCCAAGGAAAAAAAACATTGTAACTTCAAGGTGAATACCAGACACTTATTTAATAGCAAAGTGCAATCCCAAGGTTCCATTTTCCTATAGAAGTTCTGCTGCAGTACAAAGGTCAGCCACCAGGTGGTTCTGACCTTTGCCCAATAGACCTACCCACATACCAAATATCATCACAATCCATAAAAGCCTCCTTAAGGTCTGCTGGTCAGAAATATGCATGCCCACACACGCATGCACACACACGTACACACGCATGCATGCACACACACACATACACACGCATGCACACACACACGTACACACGCACACACACACACCATAAACAATACCTCCATTTTTTTATTGAGGTAATAGTACCAGATTAACAGTACTAGTAGATACTAGCAAGTATCTAGAAAAAACATCATTACAGTGCATTCACTGCAAATAGACATTTTAAAACTGTATGGCACCTTCTTCATTGTTTTACGCGAAAAGTCGAGGCCGGGCGGATAGTGGAAAGGGGCGTGTCTCTCCTGCACGGGATATTCGTTCGGGCGGCGGACCTAGGGAGTTTGCGTATATAATCACTATCAGCGGCCTAGAGGGTTTCTGCATGTGGTGCCCAGCGTAGGGCGGGGAGGGCGTGTGCCGGGGACGGGCTAACCAAGGCCCGCGCGCGTTTTACTAACTCTCCGCGACGCCCAACGAGGATAGCTCCCAGGGTAGTCAGCGTGGTGTGATACTAGTACCATTGAATGAGTGAAATGGAATGGATGTTAGGAGGCCAACAGTGTACACTACAGTACCGCTACTTTTACTCACCTTTCTGAAGGCGAGGATGCCGACAAACGCCCAGTACTTGAGGCGGTACCAGGGTCCTGGCTGGGAGTACACGGCGGCGCGGCGCGGCGGGGCCCGTACCAGGAGCTGGGACACGGCGTACCCGGCAACAAGCAGCACGGGGGCGGCCAGGAGGTAGTACAACATCGCGGGAGAAACGTGGAGACAGACCTACATAGACACCTGGATTAGACACCTGGAAACGTTACGAGACAGCAACTGCAGCTGTAGGAGACACCTGGGGACAGACACCTGCGGACAGTGACCACTGGCCAAAAACTTCGAACTAGGACAAAGGTTATACGCAGGCGCACTTAGACTAGTTAGGCCATGTTGATTTCATTATATGGATCACATAACTTTGGAACCACAAAACTGATGCGAGCGTGCGAATAAAAAAAGTTTGGCAAAAAAACAACTTCCTTTCATCATGAAATCATGGTGGTCATGAAGGTTGAACAAATGACTAAACAAAGAGTAATATTTTATTGGCATGGGGAATAATAGACTCTTCATTTTCATTCCTTCACATTTTCTTCTTGTCCTTTGTAATGGATTTAGGCATTCTGCAACATAAGTATTGTTTTCCAATATTTTCTTTTTCAATTTATGGCATATATTTGCTCATTTTGTCAACTTTGTACGATTTACAGTATGGTCAAAATTTCTCGAAAACTTTTTTGGAAGAAACGGAACAAAAATTCATGCATGCGTGGATGTCATCCATGTAATCAAATCAACATGACCTTACCATTGCGAAAAAAGTTATGTCTGTTAACACGATAACACAAGGCTAACGTTATATTGATTGTCTTGATATTTGGTATGTGGGTAGGTCTTGATTAAAAAAACACTTGAAATGATTAGATTTTGGGCCCTCTGGCAGCTTGTGATGGTACTGCAGCAGAATTTTTCTTTTATTGATTTGGACATGCGAAATTCTATACCCATACAGACTGGTGTTAGGATGGGCGCTAGTGAATTCCTACATGTAGTTTTGCTGCAATTATGCATAATCAACATGAGTTGATAATTGTATAGGGGGTAGAATAGGTTTGCAGCCTACCTTTTGTGGTATAGTTGCCATAAGGCCACACCAATTTAATTTCTTGGTTAACGGATTTTTCTAGAAAAATAATGGAGCGGGTGGGCAAAAAAAAATAAAAACAGGCCTAGGCATCCCAAAATGGTATGATAGGAGCCATAAAGTCAACACACCACCAGGCTGGTTCAAAATTTAAACAATGAATTTTGAACTTTTAATGATACCATTGCATTATCAAAAGATGGAATAATTGTAACAACTAGGAAGAAAAGGACTGTTTTCAACTGTTCTGGGCAAAATATGAGCATTTTGCAGTTGATTCTGAATTTTTTTTTTTTTTTTTGCAAATCAGAAAAATATGAAGCAGGCGAATCCGTTAACCAAGAAATTTAATTGGTGTGGCCTTAGGATGAACTATTAAATGAATGTTGATTTTTACTTTCTCTGATATTAAATTGTAATGAACTATTTGCAATGATGACCTACATTGTACATGATTTAATAATATTCTGTAAATTAATGTTCCTCATTTCGCAAAAAAATTCTATACTTCTCAAATACCGACCCAAAACACTATCAGCAAATACACTGAGGCAAGCCAAGTGTTTTCACCAGTTTTAATAGTTCACATTGACAAGTACATGTTTTGTAAGACCTAGCATGTTTGTAACTGTTTTACCATGATCTGTACATGACTACAAACTAACCAACATACTATACACATCCTCAACAGTAGGCTCCACCCACTCACAAAGCTCTATAAAATAACTCATCCACAGTAAACAGTCTTATATTCATGTTGTACAACATTTGAAGGGTGTAGAACAGGTTTAGAGCCTGAAAACCACCACCCAATATCATAATTAACAGCCTCCAGTTTAATTTCAGACTTCCAGTTTTTATAATATTAATATCTAGATGTAAGGTTGCTGAGATATTGGAATTAGTCCGGAATTAAACTGGAGGCTGTTAATCGTTCACCCAGCAACATCATTTTCATAGGCAAGTTCCCATGGCACAATAGAACATAGTGGTCAGACAGATCCAGATATCTGCAGTTTCAAAATAAAACAGTTTCTATTCTTCTTTTCAGGAAGATCAAACTAACCCTCACTTCCTTCTGCCATATAAACTACAGTAATTGTCAACATGTTTTTGCAGAACTAGCTTTCGCTAAGCTACACTGTATTCACATTTTAGATACAATCCTTTTCAATTCATGTATATACAATTTTGTTCGATCTCCACTCTTCCAGCACAAACTCAGGGTCATCAGACAATGGACAAGTGCAAGTCTTACTCTATCTTTTCATTATAGTAGGGACTAAGCTTGATGCACGGATCGTTGTATTTTTTCACTTTCCACACTACAGTGTAAGCAATTTTAAACAAGTTTCATGATATTTCCATAAATAAATAGGTTTATCAGGTTGGTGAATGATTGAAAAGTAAAAAAAAGTGATTCTATTCACAACCATTTGGTCAACATATTATATTTAACAATTATTACATTTGGAACCGCATGTAACACTATGTTGAAACAATACCTATGTATGTTATATTGTCTGTTTTATGTTTGGGACTGTCATATTAGCCCTGATGAAGATGACAGCCAGCCAGCCATCAAATTGGCTCATGTAAAACAACAAATGGTTGTGAATAAAACAACTTTGAAATTCCTATTCTATATTCATATTTGTATTAAGCTCCATGTCTGCAAGTCCTCAGCTCCAGCAAGGTCAGAAGAAAGGGCCACTTCAAGTAAAACACTTCAAGGAAAGAACTAGAGTCTTCAGGGTATTTATTTACAACATGAGGTATCTGGCGTTAACACCCTTTTTTTCTGTTTTGGCATCCCTTATAAAGCTCAAGGTCAGAATTAACCAGATACCAGCCTCTACTTTTTTCAGATCCCCACACATATCCAAATGTACCACATGACAAAAACCTTTGCTATATAGAAGTGGCTCCCTTTCTTGGGTTGGCATCATGAAACCAGCGTGCAAAAAATATACAACGGGATCTGAAAGATAACCATGATAGTCGTCCACCTGAAACCTTCACAGAAAGGCTTAATAAATACTGGTACGGTTGTGTTGGTGTCTACATATTTCTGGCTGATAGTAATTTCTATTCCAATCAAAGTTTATAACAGTTTGATAGTGTCTTGAACTATGTAGACATACATGGAATTGTTTCTTTTGACTACCATTTTGGTTTCATTCAAATGAGAAGCTTTGAGAGCCAGGAATAAATTGTACATGTGTTGAAGACCTAAACTAGTACATATGGCAATGTCCATTTCGTGACCTGTCCAAATTATTGATTAGCTTGATGGAATTCTTTCATAAATGTGACCAGAGCGTCCACGTCCTGGGCAGTCACAGCGTTGTACAGGGATGCCCGCAGCCCTCCCACCGACCTGCAACACAAAATAACAGTTATATCACCCGTAAATAACTTCATCAGGTTGGTAAACGAATGAATAGCAAAGTTCTTTGATCACAACCATTTATTTTTCACTAGCTGACGTTTCGATGACCGTCTGTCATCTTCATCAGGGCAATTCTGACTGATTTACTGTGCACTGACACTAGATGTTACTTGGTGCATAGTGCACTAAAGGTGTTACATAGTTCACAGTGCACTAAGCTAGTTTTTACAGTTAACAATGCATTTTCGAACACAGTAAACCAGTCAGAATTGCCCTGATGAAGATGACAGACGGTCATCGAAACGTCGGCTCGTGAAAAAAAATGGTTGTGATCAAAGAACTTTGCTATTCACCAGTTATATCACTGCAGAAATATTTAGCTGTTGAACACTTTCATCAGTCACATATATTTCAACAATAATAGAATTTTCTTCAACCAGTGACTGTTTGAAAGGTAAGGCCCACAGAAAGGTCAAGGAGGCAGTCCTCATACAGTTGGAACATGCTGGGATGAATTGTAACACAGGTTACGAGCTGCCCAAGTCCTACCTACCCCTGCTCCGGCAGATACTTTTTAATTTTAGGTATTAATGGCTATTACTAGTATCAGGCTGTTAGAAATTACAAGTACATGTATCAGTTAACTAAAGGCTGTTAGAAATCTTGTCAAAGGCTTATGGAAGTAACATTACTTAATTTGAGGAAGGTAGTAACTTATTGGTGGGGCAGCCTAAAATTCTGATGGGCAACCTAATTTTTGCCGTAGGTTGCCGACTGGACAACCTGGTTCAAAAAAGTATTTTGTACACTGTCACCACACTTACCTATGGCCTTTCAAGGAGACAAATCCACGTTTCTGAGCCTCCTCCAGAAATCTTTTCTCCAGAGTCTCATCTCCTGAGGGGCTGCCGATTCTGAAGGGAACGTTCATCCTGCTGCGGGCAGCCTTGTCTACAGGACAGCTGGGGGAACAGGGAGGACAGAAAGTCAAACTAATGCGTTTCTAACATACCAAATGACCAAAGCTTCTGTCCATTTTGTCCAAACATGATTGAAAATGAGCACATTTCATACTGGATTGTACACTATACAATAATAAGCGCCTATTGCTGTTCACCTTTCTTTCCGCTTGCTCAATTGATTTCAATACGTTAGATCTTAAAGATAAATTCAACTACATTCTCAGGGGAGATAACCAATACAGTGTTCAAATAGGAAAATACATTAAAGAATGTTTCGATCTTAGAGACCACATGTTAGAGAATAGTTAAACCTTTATTGTTACCGCATACATATACTCTGTATGACGTCATCCATACATGTATTTAACTTTGGTAGATCTTTAGTTGTAGAAGACCATACAAAAGTCCCTGTACTTTTTGTTGTGTCAATAAAGAATCAATCAATCTAACGCCAAAAGGCATAGCAAAGTCAAACCAATGTATTTCTTATTGTGGAAAGATCCAGTATATCTGTACTGTAATTCCTGATTTTTCCACGGTACTTTTATATTCAGGGTTTTGGTGGCCACTTCTGTACCGCCAACTTATCTGTCATTACCATTTACAAATAATCAGACCGTGAACTTTTGCTACCATGAACAAAGAGTGAATTACAGTATCAGATACAAACTCTTGTTCAGTGGAATAGATGGAAATGTCTGGGGGTTCTTCTTTCACTATGGGATTTTTTTTTTACCCGAGGATCTTCAGGATAACTTTGTATCTTTACAAAAATGAATATCCTGTAAAAAATCATTGAGACCTCAAACTATTGACAGAGCTCGAACTTCAGTTTTGGGAATAGGTGCACTGATGCACCCAAACCCAAAATATGTTGGGTGCACACAAAATTTCTTGGGTGCACCATATAAAAATGTCAGCAAAAACCAATTATGTTTCATCTAAAGGAAAGTACTACAACAATGATTTTACTATGATATATAATTTTTCTGACTCTTTGATGCTGCATAATACTATACATTTATCATCTTTACATGGTACTAGTAGGTAAACCTATGAAAATATTTGGGTGCACCAGTGCACCCACACAAAATAATTGGGTGCACAGCTCCAAATTTGGGGTGCACTAAGGTGCACATGCACCCAGTATTTCCAGCCCTGATTGACTTGTGCATTTCAACATGGAGGAACATGCGATTTTGAAGGGATTATCAGATATGGACAACTTACAAGTAGAAGTCAGGTAGGGAGTCGATGGTGCTGTAGACAGCTTCAGATTTCTTCCGGTTGATGTCCTCCATAGCCGCTGCCCCACCCAACGTCTTCAACCACTGGAACACCAGTCCCATGATGTAGATACTGGGGACAGAAAAAAACTTCAGAAAAAAGGACCAACATTTCATGAGAGCCATACTGTAAATCGTACAAAGCAGCTGCAAAATGAGCAGATATTGGCTCATTAAATAAAAAGAAATTTGGGAAAATGCTACTAATGTCGTAATATGCCAAAATCAATTTCCAAGGAAAGGAAGAAAATGTTAAGAAATGAAAAAAAGTTTACTATTCGCCACAGCATACTTCGTGTGTTTATGACCACATAGATTTAATAATGAAGACATTTTTTGCCAAGCTTTTTTTATTTGCATGCTTGAATCAGTTTTAGGGTTCCCAGAGGATGTCATCCATTTAATCAAATCAGCATGGCCTTAGACAAGTAGACTGGGGTATCTGTGGTTTCTCCTTACCTCCATGTTGGTGGAGTGTTGAACATGGAGTTCATCCCAACTTGGTTCTTGTAGTCCAGCACAGACGGACATTCCTTCATGGCACTACCGATCAGGTCCTCACGTACAATCACCAGGGTGACTCCTGCACAGCCGATGTTCTTCTGAGCTCCAGCATAGATCAGCCCAAACTGTACAGAAAAGTACAGAAACTCATGATACCACAGCACAGGAGCTTTCACATATTCAACATCTTCATAGAATTATCAACTTCATTTGTGTTGGTAGTAATCATAGTACAATACAGTCACTTGGTTTTTATCATGATGACTGAGAAACTGAGAGTTTTTAAGGCCTTCCAAAAGTACATTTTTGGAGACTCTGCCTTCCTCGAGCATCTCTTATGTCCATGTTTATTTTTGCATTTCTGTGCTTTTTCCTGAGCTGACATAGTCTGCCAGGACTGGCTTGTGCTGACTTTTCCGAGGCGGGGCATTGAAATTTCGAATATAACAGGAGAACCGTGCATATTTGTAAACGTGTCTGTTGGCCAGGTAATACTACAACAATCGGATAAGGCCACACCAATTTAATTTCTTGGTTAACGAATTCGTCTGCTTCATTTTTTTCTGCTTTGCAAATAAAAATAAAAATTCAGAAATCAACTGCAAAATACTCATATTTTGCCCTGAACAGTTGAAAACAGTCCTTTTCTTCCTAGTTGTTACAGTTATTCCATCTTTCAATGCAATGGTATCATTAAAAGTTCAAAATTCAATGTTCAATATTGAACCAGTCTGGTGTGTTGACTTCATGGCTCCTATCCTGTTTTTATTTTTTCGCCCGCCTGCTCCATTATTTTTCTAGAAAAACCTGTTAACCAAGAAATTAAATTGGTGTGGCCTAAGGTTGTACTTTGGTGTCACGAGCACTTAAAGACTGCACTGTACTGACCTTGGAGATATCCACAGGTCTAGTCAGGATGTTGGAGGACATGTCTGCCACCAGGGGAACTCCGTTAGTCTCTGGTACAAACTGGAACTCCACCCCATGGATGGTCTCATTGGCACAGTAGTACACATAGGAGGCATCAGGGTTCAGGGTCCAGGTGCTGGGGTCAGGGATGGCTACAACACAGGAGCAGTTAGTTAGTACACTTACCATGTACAACTTCACAACAAAAGTACAGCGACTTTTGATAGGCCAAACTGATGGATGACTTCTGTGCACACTGATTTTCATCCAAGGCTTGAAATTCATGTTTGGGAATAGGTGCACTGGTGCACCCAACCTAAAAAAATAAGGTGCACAAATTTTTTTTGGGTGCACCATATAAAACAAAACCTATATATAGTAATTACAGATCTTACTGCTCCTCTTCTAAGCTTGAATCTGAAAAGGGAGCTAATTTCAAAATTTTAAACAAGTACTTTAACAAAGATTTTATTAATTTTCTGACACTAAGATGCCAAGAAAAACCTGTATACTATTATACATTTAATGTGTACAAAAAAAACTACAAAATTTTTTGGGTGCACTGGTGCACCCACAGAAAAAAAAAGGGTGCACAGCTCCAATTTTGGGTGCACTAAGGTGCACATGCACCCAGTATTTCCAGCCCTGCACTTAGTTACAATAATATACACAACTTCACTGACACAACAAAAGTACAGCCACTTTTGGAGGCCACACTTGCTGTTGGATGAAACTGCACATACATTGATTTTCATCTATTCTATCCTCTCACATCAATTTTTGGGTCTTCAGAGGATGTCATCCATAAAATGAAGTCAGTGTGAACTAAGCTTTTTAACTAAACATACAAACAGATGTGAGTACAAAAAATTGACCTATGTATTGTATACTACTTGTTTTAAGGTCTAAACAGTCTTTGATGTATTCATGTATTTGTACACAGTAAGGGATATTATTACCTTATACTTTATAGAATGAAGCTGAATTTATCTAGAGTATGAAATGTAACAAATTTTGTTGAGCAAGCGAAATAAAGATGGAACAGTTTTATGCATGTATATGATCATTTCATCTTGAAAATACACAGTTGTTAAAAGTGTTTCAAACTCACTTGTGTACTTGTCCAGCTTGGGGTAGACAACATTCACCTTGCCATACTTTTCAGCCTAAAAAGGAAAAAAAAGGAATTAAGTCAAACATCCTGATCCAGGTCTCCACCATAGTACTGCACTGCCAGGCTCTAGCCCCCTTTTTTCCGTCCATTTTCTGAACTTTGTGACGTCACGTGTAACAGAAAATTTTCAATCCAATCCATCAACCTTGACGGACAAAATCGACAAAAATTTTGTTAAAAATTTTTGTGACATCCATACTATATCCACCCACAATCACTCTCTACCCAATGATTTGCCTCTCAAAATGTAGGAAACTGAGTTTTTGAAGGCTTGAAAATCAAAAATTTCCTGGAGAGAGTGCCCTCAGACCCTTTGCCATTGCCAAACACTCCCAGCTTGTCCCTACTCGAAGTAGTTTTTCTGATTTGCAAAAAAAAAAAAGATTCTGGTTCAGAATCAACTGCAAAATGCTCATATTTTGCCCTGAACTGTTGAAAACAGTCCTTTTCTTCCTAGTTGTTACAGTTATTCATCTTTCACTGCAGTGGTATCATTAAAAGTTCAAAATTCATTGTTTAAATTTTGAACCAGTCTGGTGTGTTGACTTCATGGCTCCTATCGTACCATTTTGGGTGATGATAGGACGCCTGCTCCATTATTTTTCTAGAAAAATCCGTTAACCAAGAAATTAAATTGGTGTGGCCTTATACTGGATAATAATCCACAACATCCATAAAAACTAGTCGACCTGTCCAACAACAAGTGTCAACACTAACCTCCTTTGCAGCCTTTGCTGACCAGGCACCAGTGACGATGTAGTCAGCTGTGTGACCTTCTTTCAGGTTCAGCAGATTGAGTGGGACAGCACTGAACTGTCCTGTTCCACCACCTTGTAGGTACAGCACCTTGTAGTTATCTGGGATTTGGCTGAAAAAAAAACAGAAGAGGTTGCTGGTCAGATCAGGTATTGAAACATGTTTGTAGTTTATGCAAATTGCTGAAATTCACACATGCTGATATGCAAATTACTAATGAATAAGTAATGATTTTATGATCACTTTGAGATGACAGATTTAAGATCTACAAGAAATTGATTTTTTTAAAGCCTCCAGAAAAAAAAGCACATTATACAGAAAAGGCACTTTGTACAGACAATTTTCTTCTAGAATTATTGTTTCAATAATTTTTCCTGGGCAAATTTTGCTTAAAAAGGCCCAGTTTTCTAGTGAGAAGAACAGAAGAACATATATTTTTAGAATCTTAGATTTAGAATTTTAGAAGACATATTTGAAGTAAAACTCACAGTAACTCTCTCAGCAAATTCTCGGCATTGTTGATGATTTTGCTGAAATCTGATGACCGATGGCTCATTTCTAGAACAGGAAACAAAAATTACTTTCTTAGTTTCTATACTATAGTATGTAAACTCTGAAATTCTGTCCAGTCCACGAGATACGTGTAATCAAAACATATGTACATATAATGATAACATTATTGATTCATTGTAAAATCACATTGCAGCGCCAAAAAAATAGCACTGGTTATTGTTTCCTAGGTCTTATTATTTTTATATGATTAGTAAATGTGTAAAATAAGGGATAACTTATTGACTCATCATGCTAAACAACATACAAACACATACACAAATACTGTTATTACAAAAAACATAACCTTGTTGTTGAAGGTAACAAATCATGATTTTCAGAACATTCTGCAATGCACACTCACCCATCACTGATATCCCCAGGTTGTTGTAGCTCAGCATGTCTTTCTGGGCCTGTTCAAGTACCTGGAAAAATATATATATACAGAACTTTGCATCATCTGATTGTACACAATAACAGTCTGGGCACCAAGTTTTTAGTCTGTTGATAAACCAAAATACAGTAGAAACTGCAAACATGTCATAACTGTACTATTTCGGAACCATGGAGTTAGATTAGAAGGAAAGACAACTGAATCACACTCAATCAGAGTTCAGACAGATTTCATTACCCAATTTTACTCTCCAAGCAGAGGTTTGTCTTATTTCTGGCATGATTTTGGGTTGGTGTAAAAAAAACTATACCAGAAAATGCAAATGCAGAAAATAAAGCCAGATATTTTTAAAAAAGCCTCAAAAGACGCCAAAAACTAGCCAAAACACAAACCTCTGCTTGGAGAGTAACGTAACCCAATTTGGCAAAAGCATTTTCCCACAAGATTTTGAAACACAAGTCATAAATACGGTCTGGGAAACAAAAACACTGGAAAGTGTTAGGTTTAGAGAAATGTTTTTCTTCCCATGAAAAAAAAAACAGTTGTTGTATTGGCACATGGCAGCGAAAAAATGGATAGGATGACACCCTGGCTTCAGTTGGCACAGATGTCTCCTTGGTGTCAATCAAAGTGTGCAGCAGCGCCCCCCTGCGGGCTAAATAAACATGTTGTGTGAATGGAAAATCCCACTGTGGAAAATCCCATTCGGACAAGACAAGAATAGCCGACTGAGGACTCAGCAGCCTTCTCTGTAGTATCATTTCGAAGGCTTCGTGTTTAAGGCTCAGAATCAGGGGAACGATACTGTATGATGCAACACCTTTGCCTAATTACACGTTTATCTGCCACTTTTTCATGTGGCAGACGACTACACTACAGTTAGCCCGAGGCGGGTAGGCTGGGCACATAGAAAACGCGCATACACTAGTCTGCAGTTCCGCGGACGTTAATGTCTTCATCGATCGTTAAATTAGCATCATAACGTCAACTTACCTCTTGTGGGAGCTTGGCTGGCCCAGGGGCAAAGTTGATGACTTGATCACGATTCATGATTGCTGTAGGGTTACGATTAATGTCCGACGATCAACACGTGAGGACTACTCCGGAAGGTTTCCAAACACAAGTAGGACGTGAGTGAGGCGGCGCGCCTTTATATACCGCACCGGCTAATTTACATAACTTTGAAGCATTCTGAACTCTGATTGGTTGGCTCTGTAGGTAAGACATTTGATTGGATAACGTCACAGCTGTTCACGTGGTGACTGCATGGCCGCCACACATGATACTAGTCTGTGCAGGCTAGGTCGGGTTGAGATTATCCATTTCTTGTTCCGAACTTTATTGCACAGATACAATGTATGGCAAAGTATTCAATAATTATATACTACAATTTGTGTAATATCTATGCTGTTCTATTTGCTGGGAACATCACAACTACATTATGATAAATGTAGCAGGAATATGATGATCAGAATATAAACTTGAACGCCGTTTAGCGTGATTGGAAAATCCCACAGACGCACAGTGCTGTTGGAAAATCCCATACGCACATCTGCAGGCAAATATTATATAAAACCTTGGCCTACAGCCATCGGGACGTCCATCATTAGTCATGGTGCACCAAGAACGCAGACGATTTATAAAGTATACACACCCAAGTTCTCTTTAATACCCTGGAAGCCAGAACTCGTTTTCCGGGCCGCAAGAGCCCTTCGCCCGCTGGTGTACGGGGAGTCTAGCCTTTGGCTGGCAGGGCCGAAACCTCTCCACGGGCTCAATTCCACCGGAGCGGTAATTTAGGTCTGCGGGCGAAGGGCTTCTGGCTGCCGAAAGAAACGGCTAGCGGCCCGTAAACTTGGCTGGCACCCAGGGTTTAAGCTCTCTCTGGTTGTCCATCGTTTCCGATGGTAGCCCCCCTGGATGGTAGCAAGGAAGGATGCCATGGTATAACGTTAGTTGCTGTAGTCCATCCATCAATGTCATCAATCGTGTGAAGGAATCCTGGTGGTACGCGGACGAGGGACCAGGGAGTTTTGGGTGTCCAATTTTGAGTTCACACATGTCTGGGCGAGATGATATCAGATACTAAGGGACCATACGATTTTTACTTGGGGGAGGGTCGGGGCATGGGGAGGGCCCAATGGCTTGGGGGAGGGCCATGTAAAATTTTCTCAGCATTCGCAGTAACAGTTACATCTCTCCAGCATTTCCAAAACTAGGAAACTTGTCCCTGTAAAAATCCCCTTGAATGCCCGCTCGGCACAGGAACGGACAAAGGAATAGCAAAGGGGCGCGAAGTTCGCTCAAAAATTGACCTCCCCTAAATATGATTGGTTCCTTCCATATCTCCTATAGAGGGGGCCGCAAGCCCTTTTCCGTAGAGCGTAATCGGCCGTTTTAATTCTGCGTAGAGCGTAGACGGATCGATCTATTATATATTTTTGCGTAGAGCGTATTCGGCGTTTTAATTCTACGTAATGCGTTGTAGCCACTTGGAATTTATCGTAAAGCGTAATCGAGTGGTTTCCGAATTCAGCATAGAGCGTTGTCGGGACCCCCCTTGCAGGCCCTCCTATAGTTCTGATCGCCAAAATAGCGTCGTAGTAAAAAGTTTGATGTTATTACTGCCTGAAAAGAAGAAGTCAAACCCACATATGTTGTAGAATGTAGTATCACGTCGACTCTCATATCATTGTACCTTCTTTTTCGTACATGACGTTTGTATTTGTATTTAATTGCAATATAGCCCTCGGGCATATATTTGCAATAAACCTTCTTTCTGATATTTTAAGCCTCTAACATTTACCGTTACATGATTTACGTTCAGCCAAATATGAAACAATCTTCGCACTTAAACATAGCAAAGTGCACTAGAGGATAAGAGTGACGTTGCTGAACCTTGATGCAAATGACTGGAAAAGCTACCTGCCTTTTTTATCTAGCCTATCGAGCATACCGGAGCCTGAGTTCCTGGCGGTTCTATGTCGCGCTTTGAATAACGGTTAATATTTCAGCCCAATAAGCATTTGTATAATATTTAGTACACCTGCTCGGAACATGGAAAGTTAAGAAGAGTCTGCTTTACAGAAAATTACATGACTTTGGTTACATAAAATAGTTGTTTTTTTTTGTGTAATTTTCGAGCATCTTTTCATAGTTTTATTGCAGGAAGGGGGCGGGAAAAGGAAAATTTTTAGTGTGTGTGTGTGGGGGGGGGCGGTCAAGGAAATTTTGCCCCGACTTCCAACTCCCCCCCCCCGGTAAATAACGTGCGGTCCCTAACCTGGCTGAAAAGTATTAAAAGTGGTTTTGTGTGATGTTGTAAGTGTGTGCACGTTGAAGCTCCTTCGATGCGTGCGAGACCTATAAGAATTCGTGTGCCACTAGTGTGTGACAATAGCTTCAGGTAAGAGCTACAAACTAGTTACACTGACTTAGTATCTCAGTAATCACTTTTAGTCAAAAATAATACTTCAAGCAACGTACATGAGTATGGTTTAAGTAGTAAAAAAGCACACGTAATATTACTCATCTACATCATGTAACGTTACATCGACAGTTTCAAAATCATGAGACAGTTTACTATAAATATTATTCCGGGGTTCGGAGTAGTATTAAAGAGAAATCTAGTGTAAGAATGCTCAGGCTTTAAACCCATCACTGTAGTATAGGAACTGCCCTATTTTCATGTTGATTATGTAAGAAATGGACACCCGCTTTCTGAGACCAGAAAGAACGCCGAGAATACACACTTGTATACTTTATTGACACAACAAAAGTACAGCGACTTTCGTAGGGTCTAAAACTACATGTAGACATACAGACAAATACATGGGTACAACGAAATTAACCTACGTACAAAACAATAGATGAGTCAGCTAATATTACTTGTTCTAAGGTCTAAACATTCTTTGATATATTTACCTATTTGTACACAGTAAGGGTTATTACCTTCTAGGATGAAATTGAATTTATCTATAGCATGAAATGTAACAAATTCTGTTGAGCAAGCGGAGAGAAAGTTGAACAGCTTTGTGCGTTTTTATATCGTTACGGCGAGCTCGTATATAGTGGACAATCTAAAATAAAATATTGTTGCGGGGAATTTACGTGGAATACTATGCGGTAAAACAGTAGGATGACTTAAACCAGCCAATAAGAAGACAGTTAGGAAATTATAACATCTCGCTCGATGTTTCTGAATCAACCTCACAGGCTTGCCTTGTTGTTCTTCATCTCATTGTTTTGTCTATCGACCACGCCCCAGCACGCTGCTGCCCACTTCCCCTCCGACCATGTCTTCAGTTCTTGACAGAATTTTGAATCTATCGTAAATTCTTGACTCCATTTACCGGCGGTAAAGACCCTTGTCCCACCTATTGAGTTACAATGTTGGTTCACTTCTTGGTTCAGTGTCTTGTAATACGCCACTTCTTCCCAAAAGTCGGGCCCTTCCTCGCTCACACGTTGCCAAAATGTGTTATTGAAGTAGTCGAACATCATATAATCTATGTTGCTCGTTTTCCTGTGGTTGTTTTTCTGTTTGTCGGTCAGTGCGACGTGTTCTTTACGTCTCTGTAGAGGCCGAAGTTGATGAAGTTTCCGTGTGGTATGTAGGATGTCGAACAGGGTCCAGCAAAACTTCCTTTTCAGCAGTACCAGAGATTCCTCCCAGTACTCTGTTATCAGGACTATAGAGTACCAGCTTCCAACGGTCCTGTACAAAAGCAAATGCCTCAGAATCATTTCATGGGGTATAGAATTTTCTTCTTACACAACCAGTAAGGTTCTCACCTGCTTACGTTTCGATGTCTATCAGACACCTTCCTCAGAGCTTCTGAATGGAGTTCTGCAACTCGCCGCTATTTTAGAACTGCGACATCGAAACGTAAGCAGGTGAGAACCTTACTGGTTGTGTAAGAAGAAAATTCTATACCCTAAGTATCTTCCAACCTGACGAAATTATTTACGGAAATCATTTCATGGTTTTGAAACGCCATGCTTCCATAGCTTATGATCTTCGACTATGTGACTTATTTTTACAAACACCCTATATATTTTGACTGACCGGGACATGCTTATGACAATGATAACCGTAGCATTAATTGTAGCATCGCCTCATAAATACTAAGTACTACTGACTTATCACTTGTATATGCCACGAAGTGACGAAAACTACAAGCATGAAGATAAGGCCACACCAATTTAATTTGTTGATTCTCGGATCGCCCTGTCCATTGTTTTCCGATTTGCAAAAAAAATAATAATAATAATAATAATTGGGGAGGTTCTAAATTAACTGCAAAATGTTCAGTGGAAGACATATTTTGGCCCGAACGGTTTAAGAAAGTCCTTTTCTTTCTAGTTCTTAATAAAGTTTTTCAATGTAACAATGCAATTTTGTTTCAATAAAAGCTCAAAATTTATAGTTTTAATTATAAACCAACCTGGTGTGTTTACTTCATCGCTCATATTATAACATTTCCCGCTATCATGTGGTGCCTTGGCCTGTTGTTTTTTTCGCCCTGTCGATTCATATTTTTTCTTTAAAAATCCGAGAAACAACAAATTAAATTGGTGTGGCCTAAGGTCCTAACTGTAATGTTAAGATGCATCCATAAGCAAAAAGATAGCATTCACCCTTTTATATGCCAGAGAAAGACCGAACAATAACTCACCTTAGTGCTTGATGTATCAGGCTTGTATTTTTGCTGGTCATCAGTTTTGGCGGAAAACCCATGGTATAAGACTGAAAGTTTCGGTGTTTCGAGTACGGCTTGTTTCTTCCCAACTCACGGTCCCGATCCTTATTTCTATCTAGAAAAGCCCCTAGTGGGTTCTTCTTGCGGCGGGTACCAGAATTCTTCCAGAAGAAGATGGAGCGAAAATGGTTGAGAGGCTCTCGCACGATGCCGATGTACCTAGTCCCAGGTGCCATAACCCTGTCCATGGCAGGTTTGTTCATGACGGAATGGTGGATAATGAGGGTGTAGTCTCTTCCCAGAGCCGGCCTGCAGTTTTTCTTTGTCAAATGTCCGCTGGAGGACGTATTAAAGTCGGTTAGTGCCAAATAGAAAGGTAACATCTGCAAACTTGACAAATGTTTACTAGTACCTTCACATGGTCTAGTCCAAAGGGAATACTACTGTTTATTCTCGAACACATTCATATCTATGGTGACCAGCCCCTCTAGCTCTCCAGCAACTTTGCTACATAATGTAATCCAACACCACAGGGTGTCTGCTACAGCACCATTTACCATGGTGACAGCCGTCTGGTCCAGATTATTGACTGTTTGGAGAAGAAGAAGAAATGGGGCAAAAACAACATGGCTTCGCCTTCTGCGAAGGTAAACATAAATAGTATATTTGGTACATTGCAGCATGGTGTACCAGAATGTAATTTGAATACAATTAAAACATAATCAAAAGTATCATAATAAAGGGTTAATGCACTGCCCCGAGTTGTATATGGTGTCATAACTGCATGAGCAGCTGCCATAACCACCGAATAAACCACCGTGTGAGCGAAGCGAACGAGGTGGTTTATGAGGTGGTTATGGCAGCTGCCCATGCAGTTATGACACCATATACAACGAGGAAAAGGCAGTGCATTAAAATTATTATCATATAGCCTATCCAAACTGTCAATCAACACAATTCCTGTTTGAAATACAACAGCTTTAATATATATACATACATAAAAATACATTCGAATATATTATACGCTTTAAAACAAATATGGATAATTTCATTTAATGCAAATTGTAGTTTAAATGAAGCTAAACAAAAAAGTTTATTGGACAGAAAAATGCTACAAAGGTTTACAGAAAGAGTCGCATGCCCCTATACCCTATAACATAATGGTATCAGCCATAACACGACATGTGCTGTTATTCCGCCATAACACCACATGTGCTGTTATCGGGAAATAACAGCACGGGTATCCGGGCCTCTGATTGGTCCACGCCGTCCGGCTATATGATAATATGATATAGTATACAGGGAGTTTGAATGTGTACCTTGGGTATGAAAGCTGCTTGTGGCTGGCTTTCCTATGGCTTGCGGGATAGCAGATGGTCATTCCGTGGTTCCGGCCGAATCTGGCCAGTAGCATGAACGTGGAGCCTGAAGCCGTCTTATGGACCTGGAGGGAAACAGACACAACGGAGCACGTCGGCAGAACATACTGCGCCTGCGCAAACCCCTCATTTTTCACGGTTTTCGTTGGATTTTTGGTCAACGTTGCAAAAGAATTTTGCCTGTTGCAGACGATATCTTTTCCGATATAACACTTGGAAACTACAGACGGGTGGTCAACCTTATATTCGTGAATACGACCTTCTATGAGACGTTCTGCCAAATTGCTATGCACATTATACATTACGGGTTTCGCGCAGGTGCGGTACGTTCTGCCGAGGTGCTACAATTAAAACGGCAACTTGTGATTGGTTGGGCTTGGTCGGGGCGTGGTTAGAACACGATTCATGGATTGGTTGTGATTGGTCGGCCGATGTCTATGATGACGTCAAAAAATGAACGGATAATACTAGTACTTCGTCGAGTGAGGCAAAGCCATGAAGAAACATAAGACGCATACCAGATATGGCATATTTAACATTTAACATAGCTAAAATCTATATTCTACAAAAACATTAAAGCTTGACGCACAAAAAATAACATCTATTCTACAATTTTACAGTTTTATAGCATACACATGTAGATATTTTATAATTTCCAAGTTAGTACCAAATAATATCCTTTTCAGTAGTGACTTAAGCGTATGTTAACGTGTTTGACAAATTGATACGTTTAGCTGTTACCATACCTTGATGAATACAAAATTGGTGACAGGACGACATTTTCCCTCACTAGTTGTATTGTACAAGTCTGACACGTTGTCCTGTAATGTTGGCAGGCTCCCGGCATACATAACTGATTTGCTGCAATGATACATGTATATGTAACAGATTTTACGGGTAGATAACGTAATTTACTCTGTCCATAAGTCAACTATGACCAGAGGGCCTTACACAAGGCATCAGAAGAGTATTCGTGATTTCAATCTTTTTTTTATTTATCAAAACATAAAAACATAACAAGGACAGTGTGACGCTGCACTCAAGTTAACAACTTACATAAACAGCGCCACACACAAAAAAAGTACAATTAACATTTAAATATACAAAGTTGACATATCTGTGCGCCGTAGGCCCACCACCCCAAGACATTAAAATGTTAAATCAAATGCTAACAGAGCTATTTGAAAGATAAGATTACATGGTAACCTCCTATATCTCATTGGCGGAAAAACATCCGCCAATCAGAGCTAGGAGGAGAATTTAGGCCCATTAACACTTACGTAATATTTGGACTTCTATATCAAATTGACTGTTAGAAACAGTCAAGCAGAGCTAGAAGCGCTTGGTATCTCCAATGTAAACCTGAGTGAGTTGCATCGTTTTAAAGTTGTACATAGAGGGTACCAATGTGGAGCCTCTAAGAATAAAGTGCAGTTTAGCATTATCTGACATATTATTAAGGTTGACAAAATGACCGGTGTTGTACTGGTGAAACTCCCAGCCGACGAAGCAACAAAACTCACCTTTGACATTTCTCATCAGGGCGTGTTGATGTCCATTTCCCCAGGGCTTGTTGAGATCTGTCAAGACCTACGCCAACTAAACCAAACTGAACAAATTCTACCCAAACTGAGAAAATTTGGACCCACCTGTTCCTTCACAGTAACACAAAAAGTCTACAAACTTGACCAATATTTTTTTCAATGACGAAGCAGAAGGATTTTGAAGTAGGGACTACAATCGTCATAGGATACTTGTTGGACCACTTACCTCGGTTACAATGATAAAATCAAATTACATGAGATCAAGGCTTTTTTAGGCTGTCCAGTTGTTATATTAGATCTAAATTCTTGCAGTAAAATCGCAGATATCTCAATGGAATATTATTAACGTAAATTTAGAGACATCATGTAAAGTTTGCTACAATGGCTATCAAGTCTAAACTGTCAAGGTTCTGTTTTCTACGTGACTGAACTCATAGAAAGCAAAGCTAAAGTGACCTCGCTCTGTCACTCAGCATTTCACTCTGGGAAGGTCATAATCAACTGCGATTAACCATTAAATTTTGAAATTTTGAATGCTCAGGAAAAAAACAGATACATGTAGGTACAGATCCGCTGTACTTTAACCTACACATGCAGGACTGAAGAATCATTTACCTATCATGTACACTCGGTTCCTATAGGATAGAAAAATAACATAATCTATCTTACTTGTTGTAGATGTTAGAACTGACGATTGTTGCGTCTTTGACTTTCCATAGAAGGCTAAAGGACAGGAGTATCGCCAGGCAGGTCAGGAAAAGTCCCACGGATCGGAAAGTCGATTCCATGATGTTAACTTGTCTTGTTGCGTTTTAAACATGGACAGATTAAATGTTAAGGTCACACCTTGAGCGTAGCTAATTTTGTCGGACCGTACCATCTTGAGGCATATAGGGGCGTCAGCCCGAATGTTAACAAACGACAAGATGCATATCTCTGAGTAGCTACCTAGTTTTAATAGCTTGTGCTACTTTTCTTATTAATTTTCCATGACTTCTTAAGGCAAGTCAAATCATAGCTTGAACAACTTTTCTGGAACTGACCTGACAATTTAAGCTATACAATATGGCCACACAGACTTAATTTTATGGATGGCATCCTCCAAAGCCCCCAAACTAGTGCGCTCGGGCGAATAAAAAAAAATCGGCCAAAATTAAAAATGCTACTAAACCACATTTATTTAATACAAAGCTGTTATTGTGAATTTGCGGCAGTACATAAGTCGGTGTGGCCTAAATGTATTGAAAGAAGACGCAGTGTACAATATTAAGGAAAAGTTCAGCGACCACTGTCGCCTTCATCAGGATAATTAAAGGAGGCAGTCGCAAATATTCAAATTCACTATTTTCCTTTGGCAAATGTTCCCCAAAATTGATTTCTCACCTAGTTCACATTAGTTAGCCGGAAACCTTGCGCTGTCAGAGGTTCACAACGTGATCTCGCGATAGACACAGAGTCATTGTACATCCAACCTAGCACTAGTTTCCTTGACAGAGCTCCGAGCAACCCTTTTAGCTATAGGTACCTAATATAACCAAACTAAATATGTTCACAAAAGTGTTGGATTCATTCTACTTTCAGGACGTCTTCAGGACAAAACTGGAAGGCCTATGGCTATTTGAAGACCATGACTTGTTTTATAGTGAGACTATGTGGAGTGTGTGCGAAATTTTCCTGGATAGACAGACAGACAGACAGACGGACAGACGGACAGACAGACAAATAGATAGATAGATCGATGACCGATCCGGGAACGCCTGAAAAGGAGGCTAGTCCCGAGCGGCCAAAATGATCACGTGTTTGTTTATTTTTTTTATCCTCTCTGGATCCGGTTATTTCTACCCTGTGCAAATATTTATATGAGATTCTTCAATAATATGAATGCTTTTTTCCTTAGTAGCTAGCTTTGGTTAGGGACGGCCCTAGGACGTTAAATAGACGTAATTCCAATCTCCGCGGCCATTTTGAAAAGCGGTCCCGGCGCTGCGCGTGATCACGTGATCTTGCACGAAAACGAGACGCCTACTGATGCTTCAGCTAGCCTACACACTGCATTCCAGTGGGGCATCGAGCGGTGCTGCATCTTCTTCTGTAAATTACGCTCTTTTACGATGAAAAGTCGAAATATTTATACGTGTTACGAATAGATACGGTTGTTGTGAGCATTTGGGTTTAATTTCAGCCGGTAGAAATGACAAATTCCCGCTCATTTTCCGAATTCCTTGACCGAACTCATTGTTTACTACATGTACGTTATACGCTAGCGCTCGCATGAAAAAATACGTAATATACTGACTTCGTTCGTGCAAAACCTGTATAGAGACGTGAAAATAACAGGTAGACATCCTTGTGGTTAAACATTTAGCGAAATTTTGACGGTTGTTCCGGAAATTTCACGATCGCAAGTCGACATTGGCCAGGCAAGTTAGATATCGTCCACGTGAATCGTCAAGTGGGGGAGGGGGGCGCTCGTGCGTAACTTCTGTTCTTTCGAAGATTATCCTCTACTTTCTCCGGTAATATTTCAGTTTAACTGGATTAACTTCCATAGAAACGTAAAAATGTTGAACCTTATCTATTCGTAACGCGTATAAATATTTCGACTTTTCATCGTAAAAGAGCGTAATTTACAGAAGAAGATGCAGCACTGCTTGATGCCCCACTGGAATGCAGTGTGTAGGCTAGCTGAAGCATCAGTAGGCGTCTCGTTTTCGTGCAAGATCACGTGATCACGCGCAGCGCCGGGACCCCTTTTCAAAATGGCCGCGGAGATTGGAATTACGTCTATTGGGGTCCCGTGTTTCGGTAACACCCCACGCAAACTTATCACTCTCATTAAAAAGAGGCGATATCCTTTCCGGTGTGATATGTTCAAATCTTACAGGCCTATGGCCGCACCATGAGTTAGCGTCGAAATACTTGCTGTGACTTTACCAGGAAATGCACATTTTCGCAGGGCAAAACGCTATTTTTCATGAGTCCCTGGTTACATATGGCCGGCAAACTCCCCTGGCCAATATTACATCCCCTTCTTTATAGCTGATTTCTAATTGAATTAGCCTGATTAATCAAAGGAGCATGATATTTTTCCATATACGCAAATATATATATAATTCATACATATATGCTTCCGTTAGGCCACACCAATTTAATTTGTTGCTTCTCGGATCCACTGTCCATTTTTTCCAATTTGCAAAAAAAACTGCAAAATGCTCAATGTAAGACATATTTTGTCCCCAACGGTTAAAAAAAGTCATTTTCTTTCTAGTTCTTAAGTTTTTAAATTTTGTTTCATCAAAAGTTCAAAATCTATTGTTTTAATTATACACCAGCCTGGTGTATAATTATATGTTCGCTTCATGGCTCATATTGTGACATTTCCGGCTATCATGGGGTGCCTTGGCCTGTTTTTTTCGCCCTGTCGCTCCTGATTTTTTTTTTTAAATCCGAGAAACAACAAATTTAATTGGTGTGGCCTAACCCAAAGGAGTCTAACTACATGCAGAAACTCCGGTGCGAGACCATAACGAACAGGTGTGTTACGTCCGGGTCACAGGGGTCAGGAGCCCGGTCACGTGACCACAGGTAAGTGGGCCCCGCCCTGGTCAGAAACAACGCAGACAGACTGTACCGTTATCCGGACCTGCCTGCCGTCCTGTAACGTCTGTACGGCCTTCTGACTAACGTCTTAATACTCTTCTTTTGGTGTGGAGTACGAGATCACATCGTTGTTCTGCTGGACGTACCGGGGTTAGGCCGGAACCCGACGTTTGGGCTCGAGTGACAACTGAAATTCAGTGTTATTTTGCAGCTGTTACGCGGAGCTAGCAAGGTTTGTACCGGGTGTGGGAATATTTAGATGAAATGTAGATCAGGGTGAGGAGTCGAAGATAGTATAGTGAAACTGTAGCCAAGCCAAGTGACAGAATACGTGATTGACACATGTAAGGTGTAGTAGATATCGCTCCAAAGTACAAACAAGATCGCAGTTACAAATAGGTATAGATTTACCGGAATACACTGGAATACACCAGAATACATCAAAATACGCATAAAGGAGGGTGAAATATACCGGAATACACCCAGGATTGATGAGTTTCCTGAGTATAGTAGCAGATTCCTGTATTTTGGCATAAGATAATGTATTTTTTGGCCCTGAGGTAACAAAGATCACTAGAAATTTCTTGCTGGTGTTTTGTGGTGGTGACCTGGCCAGCTTCATGAGGGTCTGCATGGGGGGGTCCTGGCAACGGTTAACGGTAAATTCAGCAGGGCCGATAACGCTTAACGGTAAATTCAGGACAGTCGGCAACGCTTAACGGTAAATTGATAGGCCTTTTTTTCGAGCTGCACTGGATTTGGTATCTCGCTTTGTGAGAAAAGGTGATCACTGACAAAATTACGTATACCTTTACATGTAATGAAATTAAGCATGCATTAAAGGTATGTGTTCCCTCTGTTTAATTTTCCGCCTGCCCTGGTCCCCGAGTGCGTCCACAAATAAAGGGGACTCCGAGTCGACGTCGGCCAGGGCTCTACCCAGCTTGACTTTTTCCGTCCGCCCAGTTTTATTGATGGATTTTGAGGGGGGGAGCGCCGAAGGCGCTCGCAATCTGAGGGGTCCGGAAAATTTAGGATTTTTAAGCCTTCAAAAACGCAATTTCCCGCATTTTCAGAGGCAAATCATGATGTTGAGAGTGTTTGTCGGTCCTTCTGATGTTTTCATAATTTTACTCAAGATTTTTCTAAATTTTTGTCTGTCAAGGTTGACGGATTCCTGTAACTTTCCGCAAACTTCCGGTAATTGAAGGGAAAACTGGTGCTGGCTAGAGGGGAACGAGCGCAGAAGCGCGAGTCGAGCGCCAAAGGCGCGAGCAATGTAGGGGGGTCCGGCAATTTTGTATTTTTAAACCTTCAATGACGCATTTTCCTGTACTTTGAAAGGCAAAATTAGGCGTAACGAAGAATTATTCATTAACGCTTAACGCTGAATTTAGGATGACAAATAACGTTTTACGTTGAATTAAAAGGACCAATAACGCTTCACGATGAATATACTGATAACGCTTAACGTTGAATTAGAGCGGGCCGGCAACGATTAACGGTAAATTAAAATAGCCCATAACGGTTAACGAAAATGGGCATGCAGGCCCTCCTTCATGTTTGTTATCATTATGGACTACACAGTGTTTGTTTAGCTGGGTCAAAGTCAGAAAAGGCACAAAGTACATGTATAGAGGCTACATTTACCCTGATAAAGAAATAAAGAATGCGCTGATATGTTAACAGCACAGGTTGCTATATTTTGACATAAGAGAGGGCCTACATGGGGGGTCCCGACAACGCTCTATGCTGAATTCTGAAACCTCTCGATCACGCTTTAACGATAAAGTCCAAGTGTTAGTTAGTTAACTGTTTACAGACCAAAATTTAGCATATCTGAGCATTGTCAACGACCCCCCCCCCCCCCCCATGCAGGCCCCCACTAAGGTGCACATGCACCCTGGGTATTTCGAGCCCTGTGTATCTCATGCCCACGTAGCCAGGTGGGGTTCGGAAGAACCCCCCCACAAGGCTCAAAGGTCCATTTTTTGGTCCACTTTTTATGTAAAGGTCCACTTTTTGGTCCACTTTTTATGTAAAGGTCCAAGACTTTTCTTGAAAAGATGGACTGGAATCATAGAATAACTGCTCCCTTTGTCATTGAATAAAAATTTATCTCTGATTTTTTCTTGGAAACACTCTCAAAAATGCACGAAATGCCATTTTAGAAGGTTCATTTTTCAAAATTTTCCGGGGGAGC